GAAATTGGTTCCACTGAGTTCACATTCAGACTGGCAGATGCAAGTAAGAGAAGGGGTCTCGCAAGTATTTGAGAGTGAAAAAAATAGACACAAATTAAATCACCTGAAAATCGTAAATAACTTCCGTTTATGCATAACAGGCATTAGAAAGAAGTTTGACTTACAAACTCATTTGTTTTTGTATCTCGAACCCTGCTTATAACTTTACGAGATCTTTATGACAGATTTCCATGAGTTTGCACGAGCATCGTTGACTAGTAATAGGATACGATAGTAAACGATACAAAGTTGTGCCAACAAAGTTATAATTGAATCATATTTGACTGCATCTAAAGTTTGATTTTTGAGCAATGGGAAGTCTTCTCTTTTGTTTAGAGCTGTTACCATAATGCTGAAGCGTTATGCAGATTTTCTTTGGACTCACTCTTCATCTTCCTAATGCTAAAATTACTTCACGTTCAAAAATTTCCTTTACCATATTTCTCATCTATCATGTAGTCTTGGTGATCGAGCTGTGAGTCATCTGATTATCCAACCATAGACCTTTCTAGTCCCTGGACTGAATTCTGAAGTCTACGCTGCATCATTTACCGATGGTTCGACCGGCAGAATCACCCTTCTCAGAGGAACTTTTCTTACAAAATATGCCAGTGGTATGTGACTGGAGGTATCAGTTCTAGTACAATAGGATTCCCTCTGGTTGTCTTGTCCGATAATAGTAACAATCCATTCAGGATCAATGCAACCAAGAAACTCACATCAGATTGTAATTAAAAAATTTTCAGGTAACTTGCATGGTCTACAAACACTGAAGGAACGTCTGTTGTAGGCTTAAATATGACAGAAAGTGAGAGCTGTGTTCTCTTCGATTAAACAACTCAGATGTTTTGCAATCCTTTGATCATCGGACTTGACACTTCGGTTCCCGGCAGAAATTAGCATCAGGACTGTTAGCTAGGGTTTCAAGAAAGTTGAAGCTTATAGCGTTGGCTACTACTGTGATTCTGGAAATTCTGTGGCTGGAAAACTTTTGAGCAATCTCGATCGGATGAGGGAAGGCATTTGCTGAGTCTGGATGGATGTAGTTGACAAGTACTGTGAAGATATACATTGTAATGGAGCTCAAGTTGTTCTGCAGGTTGCTGCTTGGTGTTTGCAAAGTGATTACACCAACAGGCCATCAATTTTAATTTTCAGATTCATTGTAAAATTTAATCTCATTATTATATTTGCAACTTATATTTAATTTGATTAATTTTCGTTGTAAGGTGTTGAATTTTCTACTATTAAAAGGAGTGGATTTTCCATTGTTGTACACACACCAAAAACAATCACCTGGAAAATGCTCTCGTCATTTAATACCTGTCTCTATTCCTTTCATATCATCTTCTTCTATAAACTTTGGCAATTGATAAGGGGTTGTTCTTTCTCTCCTTGTGCTCAGGTCCATAGAATAAGAATTGATTGCGAGCTATAAGGGTTTTATCTTGGAGCCGTGCTGTGCTGAAAGAACCTACATAAAGGGGAGGCTACGCGGCTTTAGGATATCATTTATTGTCACTTTCTTAGGCCAACTTTTTTAACTCTATTCTCATATTTATTTTATTTGACTCATATTTATAATTGATAATTTATTATACAAATCAAGTTATTTTACATGTTAATGGTGGTAAAGCGTTGGAGAGTGCTAACGAAGTTGATGAGACCTGGATTATGATTTCATAAATCCGAAGAATTTGACAATAAAATAAAATCGCTACGGAATCCTTAGGAATGCCGAACGAGTAAAATGTTTGAAAGATGAGTGACCTTTGGAAAAATTTTGAAGTTCAGAGACCAAGTATTTGGTCAACTTAGGTGACCACTGAAGGAAGGGACAATAATGGCAGGTGGGAAGGAGAAGATAAAATTTAATGGAATTTTTTATTAACTTATAATAATAATATTTTGTTGTTTGGTCTTTATGAGCTACAAAATTTTAAGAATTAATTTCTTTTTAATTTAACCAGTGAAAACATCTCTTTGTTTTGATCACCATCATGTATGTCGTTGAAATCAAATTAAATTTATTTAATTTTCTTCATCATACGCAGCAATTTTCTAATTAAAACTCCCTTCTCTCTCCCCATCCTCTGTCTCTCACACACAAACACCAAGAAATGGAGATATTACAGAAATCAGTTGCAGTATGTTGTGCAGTTATTTTCTTGATTTATGCATGGAAAATCTTGAACTGGGTTTGGTTTAGGCCAAAGAAGCTTGAGAGATGCCTCAGACAGCAGGGTTTCAATGGAAACTCGTATAAGTTGTTGTTTGGAGACTTCAAGGAGATGATGATGATGGCAAATGATGCTAAGTCGAAGCCCATCAATTTCTCTAATGATATTATGCCCAGAGTAATGCCCTTCATCCAAAAAGCTGTCCAAAACTATGGTATGATTGAAAAATAAATCCTAATTTCGCTAAATTGTTGTGTAAATTACAGTATTTATAACAAAATCAGTTGCTCTGAAATCAAGATATCGTAGTTAAGTATTTATACATGTAACTTGAAAAATAAAGTTATGTTTCTACTGCTTATAATTTGTATTAAGCTTTGTAATAAGTTCCATGGATATTGGTTAAATTACTGGAGAAGGGAAATTGAATTATATTCTGAAAATTGCAATATTGATGATTTTAGTCAAGATTCATGAATCACTGAATATCAAGTTATGTCTCTATTTCATCGTACTCGGGTAGTGCCCAATTGTCTGTAGTATAGTAGAAGGTGCTGTGCTTCATTTATTTGTTTATTTATCTAAAACTTTTCTTTTTTACCTTTTTGAATTTTTGGGAAGGGGTCGGTTGAGTTGGGGTTTCATATTCTGATGTCTTGTAGAATCTATGATTTGTGCATATTGCATTGAGGTCTGCAACTTGCAGGGGAGAATTCCTTTTTATGGTTTGGGCCAAGACCTGCAGCACTTATCACGAACCCGGTAAT